AGAGATCTGAGGGATGAACATCATTTTTTGAGTCTTGGCCAAGTTATGTTCATAGTGAAAATCAAACAATCAAACATTCTTTGCTATAGATTGGGACCAAAGAGGGTCATTAAAAAAAAACCCTGCAGGGAAATGGCAGTAGAGTTACTCAGTGAAGACACAGGATTAAATTAATAATCCTGCCAAGATAATTCATCTCCTGGTGACCTGGTGGTTGTTTCTCCAGTGTTGAAATCCCTGTTATCAGAAGATACCTTTTTTTATGAGACTGATCCTGACAGAAAGATAAGTCGTCAGCCATGTCTGCAACAATTTTTGTAGGAGGCAGCAGGAAATATAACCACAAAAATTGCCCAATATGGGACTCAAGGAAGAGCTAAACTAACTAAAAGTGCTACTTGGACTATGAGAATCTGGTTTAAAAGCCCTGATCAAATGCAGGAACAAGGAGATTGTTTTGTTTCTGTTCAGGTGGTATTAGATTAGRAGACAACATTTGACCCTTGGAATTCTCAGAACATTCTACACATTAAGTATGTATTTTATTGCTAATACTTACAAGGGGTTTAGGGATTTTTTTCTTATTTCAATGAAATAACCAGTTTTGAAGGAAAAGAGGAAAATGTTTCACTAATAAAAAAGCTAATTGGGAATTATCTCTCTCCTCAATAATCTCTTACCACTGTACTGATTGTGAATGCAACCTAGATACAAAAGGTCCAGAATTCATTCCCTCATCTTTTTGTGACATTGCAGCATGCATGCCAATTCATTAGTGCAAGTGTATAATAATATTAAAATGCATGAAAGCTCTAGAAGCTCTCTGTCTGCTGTGTGTGACATGGATATATATCTGTCTTCGTAGGTTTTGTAGACAGAAACTGCTTTGGAACCAGAGAGTAYATGGGGGGCAGGGAATAGAGAAAGAGACCATGGCTCCTTATGAGAGTGGAAAGTGAAATATTATGAAAGAAAATTGACCAAATAACACACAGAAAAAGAGGAGGGGAAGAAAAGACAAAAATTGCATTAAAATATAACTTCATTTTGCATTAAGTAACACCTGTAACTGCAGAGAGAAGCACTTGTAGTCAATTGAACTAATAAAACATTCTCTGGAGTGGGTTTGCTTGCATTTGCAGGTGACTTGTCAGGAATAAATATTTCCTTAACGGAAGCTTAAATTATATTTGGTTGGACTACCTTCTATATCTAAAATGAGCACCTCCTTCTTCTGGGTTAGGAAGAATTAAGTTCCTATGTGAAGTTATTTCACACAGAGGCTTTTCTCCTGTGGTAGACAAGCTGGCAGTCAGGGAGCAGGAAAATTTCTGAGCACAAGCAGTAACTACGGGCTCTTTTTGCTCATTGTGGAGAGAACAGGTAAGTTAAGATTTTCTTGCCTACACTGATCAAAAAGATTCTTCCACCTCACACATGAGCGCTGCTCTGAAGTGATGAAGTAGGTAAATATAGCATAATTAGAAACTGTGCTGCACTCATTGTCTCACTGGTGGGAGAAGTTGTGAAATGTTCTGAGTTGTTTGTGAAGTATTTGCTGCTAAATAACGTCTATTGGAAATCTACTTCAGCATTTTATTACCAAAGATTCTGCTCTGTCTGAATGGAAGCAGAACATGTCTCCTGAAGGATTTTTTGATTTAGAAAATAAATGAAAGAATATTTTTTCTCACATCTAATAAATGACACACTTTTCATTATTTTTTTTGTCTCAGATTATTTTCTGATTTAAATATTGGTTGCAGCAGACTAATCTGTATGAGACATGAATTTTATCTGGAACTATTTTTTAGCTAAAATCTTCTTAGGTTGGAAGTTTATGTTTTCTAAATATAGAGTAAAATAAATAAGACCATATATTCATGTTCTTAAAAACCTATTAGACTAATACAGCAGCAGCTCCTGCTAAAACTCTTATGCCTTATGATTTATACACACATAGTTTGAAAAATGTTTTTGCCATTTTTCTTTAATGTACTAGTTCCCTGGCCATTAAAAAAACTGACCTCAAGTACCTCATGMATTTTGCATATGATGTCTGTTGCATAAAGAAGATTTTATTATTATTTAATGAACCTCTGTATTTGATCCATCATTTCACTTACAATCCTGGTAGCATTGATCCCATATTTAAAGCTCTTTAGAACAAAGGGAGAAATCAAATTWAAAAAAAGCTAGCATTAAACCGGACACAAAACTTTTATTTCTGATCTGCTGTGTTTGTGACACAATAGCAARTTCTGTGTTATTTTATTCTGTTCCAGCTGTTTACCTCTGCAAGCGGACAATGCAAAACAAAGCAAGGCTAGAACTAGCAGACTATGAAGCTGTAAGTACCTGGCAATAAGGTAATTTCTCTGCTGGGCCTAATGAGTCTGTGAAATAATGTTAAGCATGAGAACTTGTAGGCATTATGTGTGAAAAATTATTAGTTACCCAGATTTTCCTGCTTGTGGGTCTAACAGTGTTCACTAGTCTTAAATTCTCTTTGAGAGATATAGTGAAGGCAAACTGGACAAATGTTGAGATTACAGTCCATCTCTGATCTTACTGTGCTCAGATCACCATGTCAGGATCACAAATAACTTCACAAGTCCCAGGTACACTGTGTTTGGAAGCRGTTGTTCTGTGCACCACTTGAGGTTTGAACGAAAGATCTCTGACGTTTCCAAAAGCACTTGATAGATGTAGAAATACAAATCTCATTCTTTCTAAGTGATGCTGACACTCTGAGCCTTTTCCCATCAGCTAGATGAGCTGCAAAGAGGGCCAGACTAGAGGCATTCCTACTCCCTGACAGTTGTTCTGTGCCTCAGGCAAGATAAGATAATTGGGGCCAGGAAGAGCCTGAACAAGAGCGAGTTTGATCAGCTGATGAGGATGGTGTTCGATGAGGAGAGAGATGTCTTGCATTCCAGCTCTAGGCCCAAAAAGTTCCTGAATTTTTCATGAGCGTGTCAACATCAAATTAACAAAGAGCCCTGGCTTAGCTGAAAGCTGTCCAGCTGGGCTGCTGTGAGCAGATAACAGGATTGTCAGCCAGGCCTCTCAACTCACCAAACAGTCCAGCCACAGCACCATGCTGACACACTCTATTGCTTCTTCTGGCACAAGCTTGTTTTTCAGTGTACTGCACTGTAGGGTATGCATAATTTTATACTTGCATGCCTCGTAAAATTCCCCTTCAGTGTACAATCCAAGAGAGCCTTTGGCAAGATCTCTAGAAAATCTTGTCTTTCTGCAGTCTTTATTTTCTGTGAGTGTGGCACAGAGGTACATTTGCAATGCATAGAAATAGAGAGAAAACAATACATTTTTTGTTAAGAAGACTGCATACTGCTGCTGTTCAAGCTGGGGAGAGATTGAAAAAGCTCTGTTAAAGACAGTGAAAATGTTCCAACATCAACAGGAGAAAAAATTTTTGAAATTTTTTGTAAACTTTCCTCCTATTATTATTAGCAGGCTGTAGGATAGATGCATTTCCTGTACAGTAGTGAATAACTGTAGTCTGCATTTTTGAAAATGAGGATAGCTGTGGGGTTTGACTATACTAACAAAAATGGCAGCCAATATTGTTCAGTGGAAACCACTTGTATTGATGACTGATGAGGAATTGTAGTGTGGATCATCCAGTATGGAAATAACTGCTGTTATCTTTCAGTATGACATACTTTCAAAACAAGGATGTTTCTTTGTACCATTTTGAAATTGCTTAGCCAGCACCCAGTATATAAAAATATTTCAGAAATCCGATGTTCTGCTGAAAGACGTATCTATCCTTTTTATCAATTTCAAAACTAAAATAGTCGAGGCAATCAAAAGTATTCCATTTCATTTGGTGTCAAGAAAAAGCTTTATATCAGATAAGTAGGGTCCATTTACACTCACACAAATATCATGACTTGTATTACATCTTGGGGAGGGCAAGGCAAGGAGAAGAGGGAAAGATAGAGCCAGAAGCTATTAAAGAATAAATAACTTGTGACCTAACCCTCTAAAATTGTGCTGTATTTTCAGGAGAGTTTAGCCAGGCTACAGAGAGCATTTGCTCGGAAATGGGAGTTCATTTTTATGCAAGCTGAAGCACAAGCAAAGTAAGTTCCTTTGGAGATGAGCAGTTTTCATTTGCATACTTTTTGAAGGGGGGAAATGTGGTTGGACACCTTTTATGTTTAAAATTACTGTCATCGACACTGTTTCTTTTAAATATCCTATAACATTGACAGGGTGGACAAGAAGAGAGACAAGATAGAGAGGAAGATCCTTGACAGTCAGGAGCGAGCATTTTGGGATGTGCATCGTCCGGTGGTGAGTGCTGGTGGGGCCTCTGGGACTGTGAGCAGGGCCACTGATAGATGGCAGCCTGTGGAGCTTTGGAGTACCCTGGGGACCAGTAAAAGAGCAGTAGGATGAAGGGTTGGGTCTTGCCTCCCTTTTGTAGGTTCTGGAGTTTATATGAGTCTGTTACTGTAGACTGCAGGTGTGTTCACGATTTTCAGTGAATAGATTTGTTGTGCCTGATTTCTTGAATCATGAAGTACCTGTCTTTGACTATTATCATCTCAAAGGTTTCCTGAGCTATGAGTCACAACCAAAATTATCAGCATGACTAAAAATACCCTTAAATAARTCTGAATTTTTTTTTAGTCTGCTTTTTTGCTTGCTAAGCCTTTCAACTTCACTCTAGTCATGTTTCCAAGCTATTTTTGAATTACATAAAAGCTAGATATTGGCTTTCAGCTGTGGGAGTCACACACAGTCTAAACAAGATTTATCTGACTTCTTTGTCAAAGTCTATCCAAAACAAAATTTTTAAAAAAGAAAGGTTCTTCCATAGTCAACTACCTTTGAGAGCTAAAATTTTGAGAAGAAATGTAAATCGCTACAATAAATCCAATTGAACTGTTTTGTTTTTTTTTTTTTTAATTTTGCTTTAGTACAGAGCAATATCTGTTCCCCTTACCTAGAGTTAAGCTTTCATTTTCTGTTCACGCGGTTTGGTATCACTACCAATGAAATCCTATATGTACTGTATCTTTGACTCTGGCACTGGGGAAAGCTACTTTTAGTGGGGGAAGTAAAATTAGGTGATGATACATAGAGAAGAGTTGAATGCAATGAGAGTTTAAATGAAAAATAATGAACACGGTCAGCTTATATTTGTGATTGTGGAACTGATGAAGTTGTAGGAGAAATGGATTTTTAGGTAGGATTTAGGATGTTAGGTAGAGAAAATAATTTTAAGTGAAAGATTCCAACCACAGGCAATAGATGCAAGAAGCCTGGGACATTATTGTCTAATTGCTGATGTAAAATAAGGAAGGAAGGCAGAAAGAGGTTTTCCAACTGATGTTGATCGGAGCTGCATATGAAAAAGTATCTCTAGACCTGAGACGTGTGAAGGTGCAGAGAGCTTTTACAATTGCTGCAGAAATGTATCTAAAGGTTTTGAATCCAAAAATGAGATGTTATTTTCAGGTTTGGAAGAGACAAATTGTTGAAGCTTCAAGAGAGTTAAAGGGACCAGGACAAGAGAAAATTGAATCTGATTAAGGGCTTTAGCTGAACTGTGGATAAATCTGCCTGGTCCAGCAGATGCTTTTAATCTGGCTGTAAACATACCTAGGAAATATCAGAGGAAAAAGAATGGCTTACACTCAGCTGTGTAGGCTCCTGGCTTTAGAAGATATAAATAGATAAATTGAGAGGTTCATGCTTTGGCTAACCTGCTCCTCTCAGGAGTCACTGAAATGATATTTTTTGAAAACACCATTATGAATTTACTGTCACAGTAAAAGCCAGAAGCTTCTTTTGTAAAGAACAAAAGATAAGACACAGACTGAAAAGAGAAAGGTGATGCTAGAGCAAATTTCAATTTTTAGTGGCTTTACAAGTCCCCCCAAGGCTTCCCAAAAACTTACAGAAATGCTGCTGCAGTTCTGGAGAACTAAATTGTTTAAATGATTTTAAAAGGTAATGGATGAGAATCTGTGTAGAATGTTTATTTTTATTTTCAGGTTTTCACCTTTTGATAAAAATTCATGGGCTAGGAACAGTGACAACATAGTTCGAAATCCATCCCAATGTAATTTTTTTTTTACTGAAAATGAGTTTTGAGGATCAAATGTGAAACTAGGAGAGTGGCGTGGCAGAAAAAGAATGTGATTTGGGTATTGGAAACATCACTGGGACTCACAAGTTCAAAAGAAAAGAAATGAACCAAGGGTTGACATATAAAAAGGATTTGCCTCAAAACCCACATTTAATTCATAGATCCCAAATCAAAGTCAAACCTGCAGGTGATTACAGAGGTCCTGTAAGATTTATGTCGCTGTCTGAGGGACAGACAAATAGTTGAAAGTCATCATGACTATTACTTTTGATTGGCTGGCCCATCATTTTTTCCTAGGTTTTTGAAGATGATGCTTGGAGATGAGCTAGAGAAATTGGATTTGGAAAGTTTTGTTCAAATAACCATCTATTCCTCAATTTTCTTCTGAGAGACAGTTAAGAGAACAGCTTTCTTATCGCACTTTTTAGTTTCCATTCCAATATTTATTTAATTGCAGTTTCCCTGTGGGGGTGATTTTTGTTTGATTTTCTTGGGGTGGGAGGGTTGTTATGTGTATCTCAAGGTATATGGAGCGCAATCTTGGTCATTTCTGTAAATCCCAATTTCTGCTCTATGTGCAAAGGTTTTATCTTGAAGTTCAAAAGAGTGTGGCTGAGTTTCAGTGGTGGATAATGCAGAGACATTCCTGAACAAGTTTTAATTTTGCTAGCTCAGATACCAGCTATAGAAAACCATTGAAATTTGTGTCAGGGAGAGCTGTATGAACTCCCCTGTGATCCTGAGCAGCAGACCCAGGATAAAGTCCATGCTGTTATTTCTAAGGTAGAGCCAGTATCTAGCATAGGCCTAAGATTAATATTATTCACATGTAGTGATGCATTTCTGGTTTTGATGGCAGAGTAAATATATCTTAAAAGTCTTTATTTTCTTTGCACCTGCCTATAAAGTGTATTTTTTCATAATTTTGAAACTTCTATTGATAAGCAACTGTAGAAATAAGCAAAAATAGGCTAGGAGGATTAACGTGTTAGTCAAAAACCAGTAATGAATCAAGCTAAATTGGAGAAGTGAGTTACTTCCAGGAGAAGAAAGAAACTGAGAAGCTGCTTTTGTTCAAAAACAAATGTCATGCTCCTTATTAAAGTCTTTGAAAGAACTTGTAGCTTTCCTGAATTATTMTCTCTTTTTAAACCCCATAATCTTACACCTGTTAAAAAGGGTCAGACAGGTATTAAAGCAGTAAATCCTCTGAAATATTCTCAAACCCACACCAAATACAGTCAGAGCAAAGTAGCTGTGGCTTGCTATAAAATTAACTCYTTTAGGTAGCAAGCAAGATGGCTGATGTCTTGGTGCTACAAATGATTAATTTTTCTTCCTGAGTTATACATTTATGTAATAAAAAGGGCTTCTAGATACTTGTTGAGATTCAGATTAATTCAGAAAATAATGGGGGAAGTATCCTTTTCTTCTGTATCCTTTTCTTCTGAAAGTCACCTGAATACTTTGTGATATAAAATATTCATAAGGATCAGACTTTTTGACCTTAAAGGTTTCTTCCAATCTAGATGATTCTATGATTCTAGAACAGGAGTATTTGTGTGATTTAATACAGGAAGGCAAAGTATCTTGGGTAAGTATGTCTAGTAAGCACAGCAGTGACATCAAGAGCAAGGGTGGGTTTCAGACAATTCACAGTTGTTGTAAAATTCAGAAATATGTATCATTCCTGGATTTGGTTGGTTTTTTGCCATTGTTTCCTAGCACCAAGCTAGGAAAACAGTATTCAAATATTTTAAACTTTTTCACACATCCCACACATTTTGCTTCTCTTCCTTTTTATGAGATTCCATCTCCATTAATTTAATTTTCTCTGTTTATATTTTTAAATTGTATTTTGTGTGGTCTGAGCATGACCCTTGACAGCTGAGTTAGCAGGTAACACTATCAGCTGTTGAGGAGCAGGCRGTGGGTGCTTTTGGTGTTTCATGATTTTTCCATCCTGTCCTTCAAGATCAGCCTCAGAAACTTGTCAAAACAGTGAATTTACTTCGGATAGGATGGTGCACTCCTGCATTTCACACTCAGTGCTAGACTTTTCTGGGCCAAGCACTTGTTAAGCCAGAGAAATCTTCTTTCTGCTTTATCATATTTTCAGAAAAATTTTTAAACATCTTCAGAAAGCAAATGTGAATCATGCCATCCAACTTCTCTAGTGGTATATATAAATATAATTTTCATGTATTTCTTTGCACCTGTTTGACCATATGTCCTCTCCAGCAGACAAGGAATACAGCCACAGCAGCCATTGTCACTCTCAGATAATTGTCCTGGTAATGAAACTAAGCCTTGTACAATGTTTTTGGTTCAAAAAATGGTTCTAATGTTTATGATCCATACTTCCATGAAGTTGGAACACATATTTATAAATCTAGCTAGACTTCTAAGACATTTGTGAAAGATTTTGTATTCACATTATTTAGTATTGTTATTTAGTCTAATACTTGAGTAAATGTGGGGCAGATGAGGAAAAAGAAGCCAGGTTTACAACAGTATAACAAAACAAATTTTTGGAAGTTAAAATGGAGAGGTCACAAGTTGTGAAAGAGTTAATTAATAAGATGGTGGAAAGACAGAGAAAAATTATATGACATTATTGTTTTTATTAAGACCCAGTTCTGTGTGAAACTAGGAAAATAACCTGAAGGTGTAAGTATGAGGATATTTTTTTTATGAGTGCAATGTTTATACATTGATCTTTGCATTTGTAGGAATTAAGTTTGCTGCTTTAATGCAAAGCATTTTATAAAGATCTTAGAAGTCTGAAGGCACTTCATAATCAATTTCTAAATGTCACCTATATTTGCCATCAACATTTTCAGAGACCTGTGTCAAACCTTTCTATTGCCACTTTTTTTCAAGGGAATATCCTAAAATCTTCTGTATGGAATCCATGAAACAGCAGTTTGCTGCCTTTTGGGGTAAAAAAAAATTGAGAAAGCAAAAATGAATCTTGATATTTGGCATAGGGGCTACAAAAGAGATAAATTTTACAAGTTTCCTTGTGCAACAGTGCCGCAAGTACTGGAATCTTCACATACACAAAAATCTTATTAATACAGCCGTAAATAAAATTGATACTAGTGAAACACCACTTGAATAAATACAGTGGATCTAATTTCTGTGCAACAATTGCTGGTTCTGAAAACTGACACTACAAACCTGAAATGGTATA